CTAACACACCTTGACTTAAAATGAATTAACTAGACCTCTTCTCTTATAATCTAGTGTCTATTTCCCCTAAAAGCTAAGCATTGCATGCAAGAGAAAACTCACTCCAACGGCACCAAAGATACCTTTTCTCATTATTACAAACCATACAATCAGAAACAGAGAGCGAGAGAAAGAGACAATCATAGAATTAGGTCAGTGAGATACTACAATTTCGACACAAGAGCTAAAAACAAAATCATTCAATAACAAGAACCAAACATGCATAAGAGACAATCAAGAAAGATTGATGACAAAATCAAGAATTAAGGATTAAACTGATAATCACCTTATCCTTTCTCCCATTCTTCCTCACTCTGATTTCCACTTTCCTCTCAGCCGATAAACCATCAGAGATCCCTTCTCCATTCATTTCTCCGGTCACCGGAAAACCACTTTCCTCTCTCTTAAATCCCTGATTCACAACCCAGAATGGTTTCTCAACAAAAAACGCCAAAACCCATCAAGAATTCACCAAGAAGCGTCGGATTCGGATAATGGACACCGTCGGAAGTTATAAAGAAGGAACCTTTTATTTTGTCTGATTGTGTGATTTGGTTCTGTGTCTCCACTGAGGTAATAAGAAAAATAGGTTTTAATTGGGAAGAAGAAGAGAGTGTTTACACGTGTAGTGTGAGGAGTTTCAATGGTGATTCCCGATTTGAGAGGCTAAAGAAAAACTCAGTCCACCACCATACCAACACGCGAGTCTTCTGGACCAAACGCCTCTCTTCTCTATTGCTAATTAGCTCATTTCTCATTTCTCCATTATATTCTCGTGTACTGTTATTACCTTTTTTCTTGGTCAGAATCCAACTTTACACTGTGGATAAAACATTGCTAGGTTTGGTAAAAATCTAATTACAAATCTAGTTATGGTGATGTTTTTTGGAAATACTTTAAGACTATGTTGTCATTTTTGACCAAAAATAATTATTATTGTAATTGTTAGGATTGGAACTGATTTATGATCATGAGAAAAAGTGAAGGAAAAAAAAACTGTAATATGGATTTTCATAAATCTGAATTTAGATATAATTTATTTCTATTTAATATTTTGTTTTAGATTTCTTTTAAAAGTCATTTTATTAAATTTATATTTGTATATATGATGTTGTTATAGATTTTATTCTATTTTTAAATATTTCAATTAAAAATTTGGATTAAAAACAAGCAAAAAAACATGAGTTGATTAATCTTTTGGATTGTAGTTTAAATCATTTGTATAAAATTTGGATCCGAGATTGGTTAATTTTTTCTTTGAAATTCCTCGTCTCGAAACTTATTTTTACATTTTTATGAAAAACATTTTCAGAAAACATTACCGATTTTTTTCGTCAACAACTGTCTTTTCCGATTTTTCTCTTAACTACATTCTCGTCGTTTACATATTTGAGATTTTTTTGTTAACAAGTAAATGCATTCTTCAAATTTGAATTTTTTTGGAGAACTGCTATTTTCAGAAAACACTACCGATTTTGTTTGTCAATAAATAAATGTATTCTTTAAACAAGTAAATGAATTTATTTCTTTTAAAAAAAATATGTTCTAATTGTTTTTCAGATAGATTAGCAAACTATGCGTTTATTTTATTTTTACCACTAAAATTTCATTCTTTTGTTTTTGTTCCCGAAGTTGTTACTCCGATTTTGTTGGAGGATAATCTTGGGTCTACGCGACTAAAAAGAATCTATATATAATGCTTTGTTTTTAATTTTATGAATAAATCACGGGAGGCTGGTAAAATTAAGTTTATTCTCTAAGTATATAAAATATTTTTTTTTTGATGGGTTTTACCGTTTTAGGCTTTAGCTGTATTTAACTTTTAACCTTTAAACCGAAGAAAGAAGAAAAGTAAAAAATAAAAACAATCAACAAAGGAAGTAACAACAACTAAAACAACAACAGAGTCAAAGACCACCCAACCACTCTTTATCTAGCACAAAAATCTGACTTTCACAAAGACAAAAGTGAGAAAACCTTTTCAACACTTGATCTTCTCTTCTCTTCTCTTCTCTCAGCCATGGCGCTAGAACTATGGCAAACTCTCAAAGAAGCAATCTATGCTTACACAGGTCTCTCTCCTGTAGTCTTCTTCACCGCTCTCGCTCTCGCCTTCGCCATCTACCAAGTCATCTCAGGCTGGTTTGCCTCACCGTTCGATGATGTTAACCGGCATCAGAGAGCTAGATCCTTGGCTCAAGAGGATGAGCCACCGATTCCTCAGCCTGTTCAAGTCGGTGAGATCACGGAAGAGGAGCTTAAACAGTACGATGGTTCTGATCCTCAAAAGCCCCTTCTTATGGCTATCAAACATCAGATCTATGATGTTACACAAAGCAGGTGAAATTTTTGAATCTTAATTACAAAATTAGGTTATGGGTTTGATTCATTGTTTCCTCTAATCTTGTTTGAGTATATAAAAACTTGGACTTTGCATACTTTTTTTTATCTATAAAGCTGTGAGAAATCGTAAAGTTGTTCACTTTGAGAATCAATTTCACTAAAGTAGTCTAATTTGAGAATCAATTTCAGAAAAGCACATTGTAAAGGTTGATCCTTTTGCTACTTTATATAAGAGAAAGATTCAAAGGAAGATGTTTTATGTTTTATTTCTGCTAGTGATTGAGATCTTTACTCTTAGCTCATGTTGGGGTATAATCGATTGATCATCTACTTGTGATACTCTCTAGACTGGTTTGTGTGTGTCAAGTGTTGTGTTTGTAATGAAAGGTTGGATATTTATTGGCTTCCTCAAATCTTGTTTTAGCCTATAACAACTTGGACTTTGCATAGTTTTTATCTATGAAGCTGTTACATTCGTAAAGTTGATTCACTTTGAGAATCAATTTCACAAAAGCTGTGCTTTGCAAGCTTTTGGGTGGCATATTGTTAAAAATCTATCCTTTTGTTTCGTTTATACAAGAACTTCTTGTTGTTAATGTCTGCTTGTGATTGATATCTTATATGATAACTCTTAGCTTATCTTTGAGCATAAGTAGTTGATTATCTTCTTATGATAGTCTAGACTGGTTTTTGTGTATTTAAATGTTGTGTTTGTAATGAAAGGTTGGATATTTATTGGTTTTGTAGGATGTTCTACGGACCAGGAGGACCATATGCTTTGTTTGCAGGGAAAGATGCTAGCCGAGCTCTTGCAAAGATGTCGTTTGAGGAGAAAGACTTGACTTGGGATATCTCTGGTCTTGGTCCCTTTGAGCTAGATGCTCTTCAGGACTGGGAATACAAGTTCGTGAGCAAATATGCTAAGGTTGGTACTGTCATAGTGGCCGGTTCAGAACCTGAAACCGCCGCATCTGTGTCTGAACCCGTAGAGAATGTTGACCGAGATGCTCATGTAACCACAACGCCTGAGAAGACCGTTGTTGATAAGAGTGATGAGGCTCCTGCTGAGACTGAGTTGAAGGAGTAGAGCCCAGTTCCAAGATTTGCTCTGATTTGTCATAGAGACCAGTTTTAAGAAAGGATTGTAGAATCTCTAATGTTGAAGTTGTCAATGATAATCTTGTTTTACTTTCCCAAAAAATAAAGATTGCTGATTAATGATAAGACAAAAGGTTTTATAAACTGCTCATATCGGAAGGCGTTGCATTGCAAGATTATAAGTTGGTCAAGTTTATACTTGTGGTCTATGAATCAATTGTGATCCTCGATGTTTAAGACTTAGGGCAAAGAAGACAGTTGACCACGTTCTTCTGAGTGTTCCTTGCATTGCAGATATGCAAGTTAGACTGAATTTTGGTTATCGGCGATCTATATGGGCTGGACCTAGACTTATGGGCTTAAGATATCTTTTCCAAGCTGTCATGATGAATACAATTATTGTCTCAAGTGTCACGAGATATTGAAATCGTCAAAATAAGCCAAACATTCACCAAGATATCAACGCACATGTAGTTATTATATAGCAATAGTATTCTAAAACGTAATGGACCGTCGATCGACGTGTACTTTTTGCGTTCACTTTATTTGTCTTCAAGAATAAAATGAAAATCAGAAATAAAGAGGTCAGATATTACCCACGTAGGAGTTGAGATCTACGACGACCAAACTAATCGTTAGGAAAGGTTTCAAATTTTGAGGTTCTTATACAACCAACGCTAACGTAATGCTAATCTCGTGTTTCCATTTCTTCCTCCTTTAATGCTATTTCTATCTGCATCATTTTCTCTTTTTTCTTTTGCTAAAAATGTAAATGTTTCATTAAAATAAAATAGTTACGAATTACATGAAATAAAATCTAGATTTTGGTTCCGTGAAAAAAAATATGGAAGCAAATCAGCTCATCCACATCTATAAAAGCAGTGATGTTTTCAGAATCGATAATATTTTTTTCTTCTAAATAAAAAAAATATTGCAAGTTGATGTACTTCCCATACTAATCCTTATCCTGGTGCTCTAACCTTTTTTTTTAAGAAAAGCTCTAACTTAAGGAGTGATCAAGATAATAATCAAGGTGTTTTACTGTAAAAGATAGACTCTTAACCAGTTATAATCACTACAATGATCAAAGATCATAGTTTGAGCTAGTGGTTGTTTAGCCATGTGCATGGTCTCATTTTGATAGATTAGCTTTTTGGATTATTTGAACAAAAACACTAAAAAACAAATGTAGCTAATTTCCATAGATCAGATTATTTTTCTAGTTGGAACCATTGGAGAACAACAAGTACCAATAACCAATGACGTGAATGCATTTCCATTTAAAATCACACAAAAGAAAAGTTTCATGTATCATGAATGTAGCAAATTCCATTTATAAATATTTGGTTTAGCTAAAATTCTTATACATGGTTTCTTCTTCATCTAGTAAAAAAATAAAATAAAGATATATAAACCATGATACCTATATATGCATTTATATTAAACACTTTTTTTTTGTTGTCAACAAATAAACCCACTTTATAGCTTATATATACACATCACACACACATATGAATGTGATGTAAATATAGTTTCTTGTGGACCTAACTAAAACTAGTCGTAACTCATTCATGGAGGCTTTGTTCTGCTCTGAGATACCCAACAACAACATCAGATCTTCCATTAACGATCTCTCTTCTACTTATACATGGCCAATGATCATGACCTCCTCTTCTTCTTCTTCTTCTTCATCTCCCACAATCATGAACATAGAGAACATTCCTAGATGCGACTGGGATCTCTCTCTCTCCGCAGTTGTTTCCTCCGCATCCACCGGATCAGACGCTATCGGAGCAATCGAGTTTGACCCGACCGGAGAGATCATAGCTACGGGAGGTATCGCAAGAAAGATCAGATCGTATCGTTTAAGTTCTTTGTTAGAGTCACGTGATGATCACGTAACAGCTTCAGAGAGCTGTATCTGCACGCCGGCGAAGCTTAGTAGTCTCAAATGGAGACCCGATTTATCCGGTCGGGTTATAGGGTCAGGAGATTACGACGGAGTTGTCACAGAGTACGACGTTGAGAAACAAGTGCCTGTTTCCGAGAGAGACGAGCATGGAGGTAGAAGGATTTGGAGCGTGGACTACACGCTTTACAATGGCTCTCTTATAGGCGCGTCGGGCTCCGACGACGGAACGGTTCAAATGTGGGATCCACGTAACGGAGGGACGTTGGAAGAAACGGTTAGGCCCGGTGGTGGAGCGGCGATTTGTTCGGTAGAGTTTGATCCATTCGGTGGATCTTCTTTAGCCGTTGGATGTGCTGACCGGAATGCTTACGTGTACGACATCAGACGACTCGTTGAGCCTCTACTTGTATTAGACGGTCATACCAAAACGGTGACGTATGCTCGGTTCATGGATTCTCACACGATCGTTACCGGTTCGACCGACGGGAGTTTGAAGCAATGGGATATAGATAATGGACGGCGCGTGGTTCGCACGTACCGAGGGCATGTTAATAGCCGGAACTTTGTTGGGTTATCGGTTTGGAGACATGGTGGTTTGGTCGTGTCTGGATCGGAGAATAACCAAGTGTTTGTGTACGATAAGAGGTGGGAGGAACCGGTTTGGGTTTGTGGATTGGGTCAACCGGACCGGTTTGGGGCTGACCGACGGTTTGTGAGTAGTGTTTGTTTGAGACAAGTGGATGAAGACTGGTGCACACTTGCTGCTGGAGGATCCGATGGGGCTTTAGAGATTTTCTCGGGCAAACGGAGCTAATCAGTATTTATATTATTTTTTTCTGCTCATGATTGATACAAACTGTTTTTCAGTTGATTTTATAAACGGTCTATAGTTATTAATTTTAATTTGATTGAATGTTACTACAATACTACTTTTCTGAGAAGTTCTTAAAAGAGAACCATTCTTACATTTCTATTTTTTAATATTATTTTTACAAGAACATCTAAAGTAGATACCTTGAATATCTTTTAACAAAAAAAAAAAAAAAAAGTAGTAGATACCATGAATGAAGTTTAAGTGTTAGTTTTATACTTTTTTTTTTATTTTGGGTTTTTGTTATTTTTGCAAATTTCTCTTAATTTACTTAATTCTGAATTTTAATATCTTGTTTTGCGTTGTTTTTTAAATTTCTCGTCGGTTGAATATAGTTTATGATTAACTATTTGGGATATCAAAATTTTGGGAGCATGTTTTAGACAAAAACATTTTAGGCCTTTTACAAAACATAATACTATACTTTTGTTACAAGATTAATTTTTGTTTTGCATTTCTTTAACTATACTTTTGGGTTTTTCACTTAACAAGTGAAATGATCTTATTAAAATTTCAAATAAGAGAAATAAAAAACTTAATTGGAGATCCTATGCCCTAACTTAGCTTAACTTAAGAAGATTAATTTTAATATGTAAAGGATCTTATTTGGAAAAGTTTCAAATAAATGAAATTGGTAAAAAATAAGTAGGGCCGGCCCAAATATTCATGATGCATAAAGCCCAACAAAATTTGATGCTCATTTACAACAAATAAAAATAAAAAAATGATAAATATTTTATATTGCCAAAGATTGAACCCATTAACATCTACCTATATACTTACCAAATACCACTAGACTACCAGACGTTTTTACAAATTTGATGTCCCTTAAAATAAATATAGAAATTGCTGCCTGATGCTTTAGGTTTGGGCCGGTTTTGAAGATATGGTTGCTCTAATGGAAAAACAAGTAGTAGAGATTGCTGCATGTTTGGGAGACAGTGTGAAAGTGACACTTAATGACATACTACTTGAAGTAAACTCATTCAATGAGTATGTGGATTTATACCTTGGAGCCAATAGATCAAGGAAGGATCCTCTACCAAGGTGTGTTATGTCATCCTTTTTTATATATTGCTCATCATTACATCTATTGATTACATTTATGGTTATGATATTCTGAGTTTGTTGTGATTAGGATGACTTTGAAAGTAAAAGACAAATGGGAGATATCTGTGAGCTTAAGTAAGGATAAGTTTCAGCAGGTATAGGTATGCTACATTTGACTGGATATTACCTTCTTCGTGAGCACAATGAATCATCTCATATCTCTGTTTTCTCATGATTCATCTCATATATGTGTTTTCAGATTAGTTTTGTCAACTCCATAGCCACAACCAAAGGTGGTACACATGTCGATTATGTGACCACTTAGATCATAGACTGCATTACTAATTCCGTGAAAAAAAGAAGAAAAACGCTAAAGTAGAGACGGATAGTGTTAAGAAACACATGTGGGTGTTTGTCAATTGCTTTATTGATCATCTAGTCTTTGACTGGCTGAAAGAAACATTGATTCTTCCAGAGAGCAGTTTTGGGTCAGAATGCAAACTTTCAAAAAATATTTTGAAGAAAGATATACATATGTTTAATCTGTCTTGTTGGGTTAGTGAAGTATGCACATGTTTAATATGCCTTGTTGGGTCAGTGATGTAATGTTTACTTCCTTTGTGTTTTATGTTTCTTCTAGATGCGAATCATGGCCTGGTGAAGCAGCTTTCATGGGAAACTTCAAAGCATGGCAAAGATTGTGAACTAGCAAATCTTGGCATGGTTCACATCGAAAAATTAGATGATGCCAACAAAGCCGGAGGGAACGAATCCAGATTCTGCACATTGATTATAACAAAGAGGGATTCCGCAAAGACTCTTGTTGTAAGTTTTCAATATTTATTTTAAATCAGGCTAACTATTTAGTTACTAACACTCATTATACTCATATGACGGGGATGTCTGTCCTGAGTGTCGAGTCTCATGATCTCTACTGCGTGTTTCCCCTCCAAGGAAAGATGATGAATGTGAAGAGTGTCAGGGAAGAGAAGATAAATAAAAACAAGAAAATCCAACAGTTAAAGACAATTCTTGGACTAGGGAATGAAAAAGAGTACGGAAATTTAAGATATGGCCATGGCATAATCATGATCGATCATGTATCTACAAAGTACTCCCTATCTTTCATTCTCAAGTTCATCATATTACATATTGCGTGTCTTATGTTACCTTGACAAAAAAAGAATTCTGTTTTATAATCACTACGACTTTTATATTAAAGGTCTAATAATTAATTTATTCCATGAAATGTGGCCGGAGTTGCTCGAAAGGGATCCATCCTTCCTATGTGAGTTTGTAACACCAATTATGAAGATAAGAGAATACGTTGATGTATAATAAGTGACATTTTAGTTCTTTTTCTGTAAACTAGTTTTTTGGGTGGATTAAATTAATTAGATTGATTGAATTTTTTGGTAATTTTAGATGAAGTTCTTTTTCTGTTTTTCGCATAGGAAGAAGGAGATACATGTGAACTATATCTACGTAATGTTCTCTAGATATGGGACGAGTTGTATTTGGAGAGTTGGGTAATAGTAGTTATCTTCAACTCAGTGTAAACGGCCAATATGATTACATAAAATTACTAGTATATAAATATTTGTAAACGTTGGGCTTTGAAAAAGCGGTCTTGCATCATTTCAACTTTTGAAGCCAACTAAATACAAAAAAACTTCAGTGTTATTGTTGGGTCCAAAAACCTCAGTGTCATTATATTAGGGTATCAAAATATATGAAGTGATTACTATAAAACATGATATGAGAGGCTTAGTATTTTATCTGATATTATAAGCAAAAGCATATGTACATGAAGTGTACAAAGAGATGGAACATAGTAGAATTTCAATTTGCGCTCGAAAAAAGAAAAAGAAGTATCAAAAGAGAGTGCCTAAATTGACTTGGAAAATGACAAGGAGAAGTCAAGTGTCCATTTGAATGAGAGCTTCTACTTCTACTTTTTGTTTGGTGTACACACACCTCTTTTTCCTTTCTTTCTTTTTTACCTAGCTATTGAAAAACTAGAGCTTTTGGCGACTAAATTTATTATGAATCTTTTTCTTTTCTTGTCAATAAAATAATTTATATTGAAAAAGATTGGATCAAATGAGCCAATTTAAGATTCATTTTGAGTCTTAAAGATATGATTTGTAATCAATTGGCCATTAAATCATATCATGTTGTGTAGTTTAATTTTTATTTTTTAAACCTTTCCCGTAATATTGTGCATGTTAAGATATTTTTGTTTTAAATTGTCATTTTAAGCCAAAATAAAACCAGGTCCAAAGGGTAAAGTGGCCGAACAAAACTTTGCCACATGCCATGAGCCCATGACTCTAGTAGCCCATATCAGAGCATAGCCTATCTTTAGATCATTTTACATATTTTGTCAACAATGTTACGTACCAAGTCTTTTTCTTAAGGAAAATCTAAAAACTAATATATGAAACAAACGTGGTTCGGAGATTAATTATTAAAAGAAAAAACGTAAGAGTCAGGACATATATTGGAAACATTTCAATATGTAAGAGCCAGCAGAAACCATTTGGGTCGCTAACATAAATGGAAATGCTGAATATTCCCTCTCTCAAATGAATACCCTATTTGTAAATTTGAAAATGTATTGTATACTTCTATTATCAATAAAATCCAAAACTAATTTTTAAACGTAAAAATGTGCAGCAAATAGGAGGGAAGTGTTGACTCACCTACCAATATTAATTACATAAATATCCTAACAAACAAACTTTTATATTGATTATATTTAAAGAAATTTTCATATGGATTTTAAATATATACATTGCCAAGTTTGGTTAACGGAAAATTCCAATTTGTCCGATCGCTTTTCAAAGATTGGATGATTCTTTGCAATCTTCAATTCAATTGTTTCATTTTCTTTCACAATCATTGATTCGGAACAGACAAATATTGTTTTGTCAACGTTAAGTTTTGCCTTCTAGACCAATTTACTCGTTTATATGATTTGGTCAATCTACATCATTTACACTTTTACATACCCAACATCTTGATCTTTTTACTTTAATATATATCCGGAACCAAACTACCTAAGTCAATTTTTGACATAAATCTGTTTGACATTGATAGTGTTATTGAGTTTACTTTTGTATAAAGAGATGGAGACAAGAGATATCCACTTGGTTAAATCATAGATAATACTGTGATTTTAATACTAACATCTTATCATCGTAACAAAAGTTTCCTTGTGTTTCCCAGTTTCGTCATATATTTTATTAAGCGTTGTAGACTTTCTTCATAGAGTTAAACAAGAGAACAAAAGATATCTGAAAGCAAAACAAGCAAAGATTCCTTCTTCTGTTTAATTTGTCTTAATTAATACTTTAGTTTAAACCAAGTGACTTGGTTTTACAACTAATTTTTGCTTACATATTCCACCAGACTTTTTTTTTATCATAGCTACCTTCTAATACTTAATTACACATATTCAAAAAATACAAAATACACATATATACACATGAAATTTCATTTGAATCCGCATACGTAAAAGATTATATGAGTCATGTGTCTTTATTATACTACGCAGCCTCATTTGGCTATTTCCTAAAAGTCTCTAGACCATGGCTTTTATGGTTTAAAACGTAATTTATGTGTTTGCGTTTGCGTTTATTATAATGGTCTCTCTATCTATAAGTAATTGTCTATGCTCATATATACTTCTCTCTGTCTGTCTTTGTCTCTCTCTCTCTCTCTCTTATTCATCATTTACACAAATTTTCTCTTAATTAAGACGACTTGAGAGAGAAAGAAAGAAAGAAGAAAGATACGTGTGGAAGATGACCAAATCTGGAGAGAGACCAAAACAGAGACAGAGGAAAGGGTTATGGTCACCTGAAGAAGACCAGAAGCTCAAAAGTTTCATCCTCTCTCGTGGCCATGCTTGCTGGACCACTGTTCCCATCCAAGCTGGTGTTTTTTCTTGTCTCTAAAATCTTAGATT